TAAAACAAGAAACGAATATGAAAGAAATTTCATTAACATTTTAAATCCGTTTTATTATTATTTATTATTCACACGTATTGCTAATTTTTACAATATCCTGATTGTCCATTACAGTAAACATCTATCTCAAAAATTGTTCAATTAAAAAACAGCGCGCTTTAATCTTCTAATTAGCTTCATGGATATAAATTTTCATTACACTTTGTACATCATTATCTTAATTACCATAAAACGCTTTTTTATTCTAAGTATGTTTAAGTTTCGCGAGACACATAAATTGATGCTTTTACGTCATATTTCTCTTTTTTTTTTTCACAAAGAATAGAGATGCAACTTAAAAAAGATCGCGTGTTTCGTACAGTATTTCTTCCATCTTTCGATTTAAATGCCACGTGCTCGTGTGTATAACCGAAATTCGTAACACGTGGATTTCGATTGTGTACACACGATTCGGTAAAAATTTCATCATGCACGAAATAACAACAAATAACGTCGATAAATCGATGCAAGTGATAGTCCAAATATAGGAGAAAATTCGCAAATCGGAACGCGATTACTTGTCGACGACGCAATTCTCAAGGTATGTTTTTTAATAGTAAACTCGATCGTTATACTGGATCAGTGCACATTAAAAACTGCTTTACATGAAGTATCTGAATACAATGGCACAATATAATCAACTTTGGACACACAGAACTAATACTCTATTAAATAATGTGACGATATCATTAGTGGGCATTTAATTGTTTAAAATATGCTTTTAATTCAAATCTGCTAATTTCGTGTATAGCAGCTTTTAACTCTCTATAGCTCGAATTTGTTCGTGGTTATAAAAAAAATATATAATGTAAAAATTTTTATTTTTAAAAATTAAGTAATCAACAAGATATCGATATATTAGTGTGTGACTTCAAAGTCACACCGGGTTATAAAGGATTAATATGCACTGATCTAGCGTAATGGAAATGACTGAATTCGCTAGAAGTTTCACAAAATCTAAGTTGATGCTTTTATATCATATTCTCTCTTTTTATCAAAGAATAACCGCGTTCAGCAGAAAGAGCAGCTTTGCAACTGTTGTAATATGTCTTTTGATACGATTGATCTTTCCCTTAAAATTCCTGGATCTAAATATTTTAAGTATATAAACCAATCAATTTTACAACAGTTGTAAAGTTGCTTTTTTGTTAAAGGTAATCTATAATAGAGATGCACCTTAGGAAAAAGATAACGCGTATCGTGCGATGCAATTTTTCCATCTTTCAGCTTAAACGTCGCGTGCTCGGGTAGACAATCGACGAAACTACAACGTGTGGGATCCGGTAAATCCCGTTGGTCACGAGGACGAGATTAACAACGAGCTGCAACGATAAACCGGTGCTGCGAGGGGATGATACACGTGACAATGGAATATTCAATTGTAGCAGGAAATTGAAAATAAACCGGAACGCGGTCCGCAGTTACGCTGACAATGAGTTACGCGTCGACGAGGCGACTCGACGACGACGATAACGCACGGCGACGGTTAGATCCCGTGGAGGAGCACGTAATACGTGCCGTAGCGGCAAACAAAATGTCGCCAGTGCGTCGCGCGACGAAGCGTGCCTCCTTGCGTCAGGCCGACCTCGCCGTCGCAACGTCCTCGATAAGCGATGGCCAACCGGGTGGAATTCGTCACCGAGAACGCTCTCGCTGAACAAGCGGATGAGCGAGCGAGATGGCCGACGGTGACGACGCGGCGGCGGGAAGAAAACCTTCACCCAGTAACGCCCCGTCGACACCGAACGAGTCGTCCGTGAATCTGCTCTTCTCTCTCTCTCTTTCTCTCGCTCTCCTCACTCTCTCTCTCTCTTTCTCTCTCTGTCGCTCTCGCACATCGTTTGCCTCTCCGTCTCTTATCGAGAGAATGAGATCGAGGACGAATCGTGCAGGGCCACGAAGTACCAAGGGAGGTCACTCAGAAAAGTAAACGAAATTGAGAAAGAGAAAGAGAAAGAAAGAGAGAGAAAGAGAGAGAGAGAGAGAGAGAAAATAAGGGACGCTAGGAAGACAAAATAAGACGGAGAAAAGAGAAACGGAGAGAGAAAAGGAAATTGATGATTGAAGCGAGTCCCACAAGGAACAGGATATCTTAGCATGTCGCAAAGAACGCGAACAAAGAGGAGGACTTACCTTGAACGGCAAGCACGTTTCAATCTTATCAACGAGCTGACGATTCTTGCCTTCCTGGCCAAATATGTGCATCCTAACAGCGTCGTAGGAAGCGCACAAGCGACACAGTTCGTTATAGTTCCTTCTCGGCTCCGACGCCATCGCTGTCTCGATCCTCGTCGTTGACGTCGACATCGACGTTGTCGTCGTGATCGTCGATATCGTCGCCATCGTTATGTCGCCAAGTCTCTCGAGAAAGCTCCGCGTCCCTCGCACGCCTCTTTCTCACTCTCGCAAGTCGCACTCTTTCTCTCTCCCTCTCTCGCTTGCTCCGTAGCAGCGTCGCCGTCGGCGTCAGGGAGCGACGCACGGACAACGTTGTCGCTTCGCTATCTCCCAGCCGGACGTAGAACGTACGGGAACGAAATGACGATAAACGACGTAGAGGACGTATCCCCGCACGGTTGTGACGCTGCCTGGGACGAAACTGACCGTTGCCGATTCCTCGCCGCGCTTCCTCTCCCACCGACGAGATCCCACGCCTCGTTCGTCTACCTGCCTGAGACGCGCCTACGTCCCAATCCGCTCGGCTACCTGCCTACCAACCACCGTTGGCCAAGGCTACGCGTCGAGTCCCTGCCGCTTCTTCCATTGCTCGGACCGCATCTTTCGAGACGCTTCCGTCACCGTAACCGTCGCCGCCGTCGCTATCGCTGTCGTTGTCGCTGCCGCCACCGTGATGCTCGGCTGCTCGGCTCGCTGCGATACCGCTCTACCCGGGATAGGCTAGGCAACACGCACTGCCCTGCACTGCACCGCTCCGCACCGCACCGTACCGTACTCCGCCGTGCCGCGCTACGCTACGCTGCGCTGCGCCGCACCGCACCGTACCGCACCGGTCGGTCGGTCGGTCGGTCGGTTAGTCGGGTCGAATCGGGTCGTCGTTGTCGTAGTTACCGCGCACCTAGCACCGGCCACCCGTTCACTTCACTCTCCTCGTCACTGCGGCATCATCGACACGCGCTGCTACTTCCTCGCGATCCTCGCGACTGTACGAACTCCGGGCGCGGCCATCTTGTATACAGACACTTGTTTCGCAGCCGCTAGCCGGTGACGTGACGGTAAGCGAACGCGGAGCTCCGACGACGGCGGCACGACGCCCGTGCAACGGAGCTCGCGAAGGCTCCTGTCTGCTCCTGTCCGGCCGAGCGTGTAAGATCGCGTGGCCGCATTTTTGGATATCGCGTTTTCCCACTCACGGAGAAAAGATCGTGAACGATGGTCGCGCGCACGTGGCATCACGCTTCTATACGCGGGCTACTATTCCACGTGGACGCCAAACTGCCGCCGATTGGCGATTGCCGTGAGCGCGAGCCGATCGCCGCTAACCTATTGGCCGGGACATTCGGTCGCGAGAGAGAGGAATTTGAATGCCCCTCGATCGATTTAGCATGAATTTGTGTATTTATTTTATCATCGCGCCTCGCCGCGCCGCGTCGTTTATTAGGTTGCGTTTCCATCGAGTCGTGAATTGGAGAAGACTAATTTATGTCTTTTAGATTTGTGTATTAAGTGTTTAATTAACGATAAAAGTTATGAAAATATAATCAGTTATTCAATATTAAATTAATATATTATAAATAAAGGAATAAAATTATAATAAATTTATATTAGAAATTATTTGAATAATAAAATTTTTTTCAATTGAAATTAATTATATATTATTTTACATATAGAAAAAAAGTTCAGTTATAAAATAAAGTAAAATAAGACAAATTATAAAATATAATAATTTAGTTAATTATTTATAAAATAACTTAATGTAACAAATAATTATATAAATTTACCTATATAATAAAATATATTTATTGATAGTAAAATAGTTTTGTCTATCTATAAAAAGATAAATTTTATTAAAGTCAATAAAGTCGTACATAAACTTCACATATAACAACAAATAACGATTTAATCAATTTGCAGAAAGCTCGACAGAAACTTAAATTTTAGACTTCTTTGATAAAGACATATTCTTACAAATAAATAAATAAAACTTGCACTTATACTGCCCATTTAAAAAAATTTTGAATATCTTCCTTTATATTCTTCTATCTATCAGGAAAGAAATCTCGTATATACTTTATGTAACCATTAAGGCCCAGTTCCACAACTCACGGTTAACTCTTAATCGAGGTTCAACTTATTCATTGTCTCTTTCCAATTCTAGAATTAGAAAGAGATGAGAAACAAGTTGAACCTCGATTAAGAGTTAACCGTGAGTTGTGGAACTGGGCCTAAGAGATAGATCTGACATGTCATTTATCTCTTTATAGTATATCTTGAATAGAAATATTGGATTTTTCCTTTTAGAACAAAATTTGATTTAGAGAACTTGACTGCAGGTGTGTTATACAGGTATTTGACTTGCAGGAAGAGATACTAACCGATAGTTTTCTCCTTCACAGATATGTCAATCTCAGACCTATTTCTATGTATCCATAATATGAACAAACAACTGAATCAGACGTAAGCATAGTACATTTAACATCATAAATGACTGAAAACACAAGGTGGTATCAATTGTAAGTATGGTATCAATACTCAAGCACATATCATGTTGATATATTCATCCGCTTGGCTTTTTTAAAAATAAAAATATGTGAAGCAGGCGTTTGTTATTTTATATAGTAAAATATATATTCTATTTGGCGTTTATTATGCATTTAAAAGAGATTTAAATACCAGATTACTGTCATTAAACATATTATTTTGTTCTTAATAAAGTGAAATCTTAATATAGTGAGTCGTAACCAAATGTAAAAAGGAAGGAAATGAAAGAATACTGGCAAACAGAAATATTGACTTTATTGTAATCTATAATTTCAAAATATTATTCATAATTATGACTCGCAATAATTATACTCGTTATTAACACACTACTTTCCGATTTTATCGCATTATCAGATCCACAGCTGATCAGAATCTGAATGCCAAGTACTAACAATATTTTACGTCCACATACGACGCTCAGCTCGTTCGCAATATATAGCTGGATCAGAATGCGCAAAATGGTCTAAGAAAGTTGGGTCTCTATACTGGTTTGGATCGTCCAGATAGAATATCGGTTCCCCATAGTATGTTCCCACTTCCCAGCCTTCGACATTTTTCATCAATTCTGTCTCGATGTCGCGATTACGTCTCATTTGTTTCAAGACACTGCATGGGAAAAAAAGGAAAATGATTATAACTGACTCTATTTTATTATGCTATGTATTTAGAGATTTTAAATAAAACAGCCTTTTTAATGCATACTAATCCAGTACACACAAATGATCAAATTAATAACTGTGGTGAATTTGGACATTCAAGTGTACTGAATTAGTACACATTAAAGGTTGCCTTATATAAAATTTCCAAATGCAGTGACATTTAATCAACTTTGACAATGAAACAATACTTACATATTCAATTAAATAACGTGACAATATCATTATTAAGTAATTAATCGTTTAATATATTGATATATCTTTACATTTCATATTGCTAATTTCATGTGTAGCAGGTTTTAATATGTACTAATCTGGCATAGTGCAAATGATCAAATTCGCTATTAAGCCTCGTTTTGCACTAACTTATGAATACTATATTTTAAATAAAATATACATCCTTACGCTCTATCTCGTTCCGCCAACAACATTGGAAATATAGCCCAGCGTGCACTTCTCATCTCAATCTGGTGACGCCTAACTTGTTTGAAACTTAAATAGTAGCCGTACATTCCGCCGATCGTGGTAGCTAGGAAAAACGCGATTGTGCCTCTAGCTATAAAATTTCATTACAATATTATTACATAACCTGCCAATAATGCAATCTTTGCATTAACTACCCAATAAAATTTTCAATCAACTAGTAAAGTTTGTTACAGAAATATTTTTACTTCCGAGAATGGTGCGTAATTTTATCCTTTCCGTTTGTATGGAACCATAGCCTCCTTTGGGTGGAAGATCCTGTACTTTTTTACCATTTACTGTTGCATCCATCTTGTTCGTTTTCTTCTCAGATGTTTGAGCTAGAACATCACTCAAAGTGTGTCAAGAACTTCAAAAACATTTGTTTGTCTGTAATCTGCCTTCCTATGCTGATTACAGCAGAATATTTGCCAATACCTGCTAGTACCAAGCAGAGTATCGACAATCGACATCAATTGACTATCGCAGACTACCGAGTACAGACTACCGAATACTTAAGGCCGCAGCACAGACTCTTGCATAACGCATAGTGCATAAGCGAATCAACTAATCAGAATCTTTCCTTTCCTTCCATTCCATGGAAAAGAAGAATTTCGATTGGTCGATTCCATTATGCATTATGCGTTATGCAAGAGTCTGTGCTGCGGCCATTAAGCTAGTTCTACATTAGTCGCATCGCAATGTCGCAAGCGTTATGATCCAATCAGAATCGAGCTAACTTGATGTTGATTGGACCGCAACGCTTGCGACGCTGCGATGCGACTAATGTAGAATCAGCTTTAAATCCGGATCTACAATAGGTGTTTTAAGCCTTAAGTTGTGAGAAATTGACCAATTGCAGTCAAATCCGAGGGGAATAATCGACTGTGATTCGCCCATTTCTTATGGCTTAAGGCTTAAAACCCTATTGTAGATCCGGGGTAAGGCTTGTTCGTGTCGCATGCTCCAACATGTTCCAATATGCTCCTAGCATAGCTCTTACTCACTCCAACGCGCTTGATAGAGTGAATAGGAATTATGGAGGAGCATGCTGGAGAATGTTGGAGTATGTTGGAGTTTGCGACTCGAACAAATCTTTAGTGTATGCTCTGTGTAAGCCGGAATAGCTGGAATAGCAATCCTGTAACAAGTGTTGCTTGGTTTATGCTTCGGTTTTAACTCTAAAATCCTAAAATTCAGCCAATAGGACTGCCAATCTTAACTGGTCCTAACGGAAATCTGTATTCCATTGGCTGAATTTTAGGATTTTAGGGTTAAGACCGAAGCATAAACTAAACATGTAAAGCTCTGCGTACAATGAAGGAAATATTAAGAATAGGAATAAATATTAAGATTTCAACCTATCAAAAACTGTATATTCCGATATAACCGGTTTCTAATATGTTGAAATCTCTTGTGACCAATTTTTTCTTTATCTCTAGATAAGTTGCCGATAATTTCATCCGTGAGATATCCATGAGATATCTTCCAGATATCTCCCAGATATCTCGTTTATTCATGAGACATCTGGGAGATATCTCATGGATGAGGTTATCGAGAGATGTGAAGAATTGACCATTATTCCCTGTTTCTATTGCCTGTGTCTTTTATAAAAGCTTTCCAACAAGTGACTGTGGCTGCGGTCCACTTGACGCTACAAACGCTTCGAAGCGTTTGAGCGACCAATCAGAACAAAGAATTTTACGAATTGACTAATCAAAGAATACTTTGTAGCGTAAAGTGGACCGCAGCCACTGTATAACACAGTAATCATTTCATCTTTGTTTAACAATGGCGAACAGCAAGAATGTAATGATTCACTGTTAGAGTATATCCACACAAACTTACATAGCCGCATAAACGTATGCATAAAGACAATTATTCAATCGCATTTCTCCTATAAAGACGCACGTAAATTGTGATTGGATAATTTTCTTTATGCATACGTTTATGCGGCTATGCAAGTTTGTGTGGATATACTCTAAATTAACACTCTGTATATATATATATATATATGAATTTATTTTATATCTAATTCTTCATATGTATGAACGCCAAAGTGTTAGATGCAGATTTGAATTCCTACGCTATTGTCTATGGCAATTACGCATTAAGCGGGGAGCACAGACTCTTGCATAATACATAATAAGGTATGCCGCAGCACAGACTCTTGCATAACGCATAATGCATAGTGCATAAGGGAATCGACCAATCGAAATTCTTCTTTTCCATGGAATGGAAGAAAAGGAAAGATTCTGATTAGTTGATTCGCTTATGCACTATGCGTTATGCGTTATGCAAGAGTCTCTGCTGCGGCCTTTACACTGTATCATCTGTGTCTTTTGTTGGAAAGTTTTCATGAAAATTTATCTTCCATTGTGTTTAAGACTTAATACTTTCGATAAACAATTATAAAGATGTCCATTCTTATTGAAAAAGAAACCCTGGCAAAAATGGAAAACAAATCGAGACGAAAAGTGCAAAAGAAAAACGATCTAGAAATTTTCTATTCAAATGTGAATTTTCATTCTTTTTTTTAACTGAAACGTAAAAGTAGAGATTATTTTGAATTTTGTTTCCTGAAAAATGGCCCAATAGTAAAAGTGAAAGGGAGTAATAATAACATAAAGATATTTTTTCACTTTTGAAGATCTTTAAACGTTTTTTATCTTTGTGTTATTTAAGTTATATTCCTACGTCCTCTTCAAGGAAAATTTTACTTGATACAATGGGTGTATTCGATGCTACAACCGCCTGATTGAGCGTTAAATGAACTCTTGTACCTGTCTATATTTTTAGGTCTAACAGAATATACCAATCAGATGCAGTTTATAGTATCGAATACACCCAATGAGGAAAAAAGCGAAGATTCTGAGTGCAAAAAGTGCAACGCAAATAAATCTTTAATTTAATCGTTCCTCTAGTACTTTTTCTTCCAATGCAAATATTACGTATAACAATAATTATTATGAATACATCGAGATACATATGAATGAAATTACGCGGGAGTGAACATGGAAAAATGTTGAACGGATGTGACGTCACGACTCGATGTACTATGTATGTATAGCGCATCCGTCGTCTCGAAGCGGTCTTTTCCGTCGTTGAGCCATTCCCGGATCGAACGCGAATAGCTCCATCTGTGTGTCACGATACATAGTGGGATGCTTGCGGTTGATTGTATACTGAGACAATTCGTAAGAGATGGTGCTGAACGGAAAATATTGAGATCCTGCTGAGTAGGGTATGTGAATTATAAGTGCAATAGCGTTTTCGATACACGCGTACAGGTACCTATGGTACCCGGACCAGGCCGGTCACGGGATCCTCGTCGCGGTCGGACTCACGGACGACGACGCGTACGCAGCCAATGTCTGTCGCTTCGGCCCGCTAGAAGATGTGGCTCGCGTATAACGTCATCGCCGTTGTACCCGAAATTTATAATTCGTTCCGTTTCTAGCACACTCTCATTAACTTGTCCGTCTGCTCTCATCTTCCCGCTCATGAGAAGCGACCTGAGTTTGCATTTTTCGAAGGTAAAAGACGATCAAGATACACAGATTCCTTCGATAAGAACCGCGATATGCGAAGCATTGTTTCGAGTATGAAATAAGTTACGAGTCGTATGTATGTGCCAGTATGTGGCTCTTGCTACTTTCGGGGAAAGGATTGGTCTCGTCGAGCACATTGCGTTAATGAAACTTTTAAGGCTTTTTCGTGATTTACGTGAGATTAGAAACATGGATTAAAACGTTATATTTGAGTAAAAAAATATACATATTCCGAAAGAATATGGGAAAATTAATAGCTTATAGAAAACGCTTTATGAAAATTGTAACAATTCTTATTTATGAAATTAACTAATTGTAAGATCATTTAATTTTTTTTATTGCTATGTAATATTGTTTGCACAATTTGCACAATAATAGATTATGATTATTTTAGTTATATAATTACAGTTTCATAGATACATGTATAATGTAACTTTGTTTTATCTTGGTATCTTAACTTAATAATGTTACTTTCGATATGTTTTATTGGAAATACATATCACTCATTTTGTACAACAATGACAGAATTCAAAGATTATTATTTTAGTTGCTTGTAAAAAAAAAAGAATGATAATATTAAGAAAAAACAGAAAAACATTTTATAAGTACATGCTTTTATTTCTCTAAAATTAACCATGACATAAAAATTTCAAAATTAAAATTACAAAATTTTAATAATTTAAAATATTTAAACTCATTTTCTGAAACTGGTTTTTTAAAAATAATTGTTAATGTGGCTGAATTAGAATAAATCAATAAATAAAAGAAGGGCAATTATACTGTAAGATATTTAATAATATCATATGTAAAAATATCATTGACTGAATTTTCCGATAATTTATGTAAGAGTGTTTGTTGTTTTACATTGAAAATGACCCGATTGGTGTCAAAACGTTTGTATATATACGATTATTAAATATCTTAAATTGGTTCATTGCCCTTCTTTTATTTATTGGTTTTTTTAAGTTGTGTCGTTGTAAATGTGTGTGAGCGATACATTATATATTTATAAAGTTATATAAAATATATACATAGAGATTCTATTTTATTCAGTTTATATGAGATAATAGTGTACATTAAAGATCGAATAATTTTGATTAATCTTTAAAATCAAATATTTTTCATTAAAACTTATTTATTCTAATTTATAGTTCATGTGGTGTTTTATCTTCTGGAAAAGATCCAGAAAGTAGAACGGTTCATTGAACATTTTGAATATGTTTAACTTCTTGTTTGTAATATAATTTATATATATTATATTTTCAATTAGGTATCTATATTTTCATCAAATATACTCTAAAATGGAACCGGGAATAATTCAAGAGAAGCCACTCCCTGCACGAGGCTTAAAACAAGTAAAGGTGGATAATTGGGGATCGTTTTTTCTTCAACGACTTCAGACTCTTTACTTGGAGGAACAATTTCTTGATCTTAAAATTAAGTTTCCTACAAGTAATATTACTGTACAGGTATAAATAATGCAACGTTTATATTATTGGTATAATAATGATATAAAAAAATAATTTGGAATTTTTTTTTAATATTATCAGTAGTATTATTAATACAAATTTTTTTAGGCCCATCGACTTGTAGTAACAACATGTACAGACTATTTTATGCAACTTGATGAACAGCAGAAAGAAAAAGATGAAAATTTTAATGGTGTAATTATTATGCCTTCAGATATGCCTTATGAGTGTGTTAAATCTATTATAAGGTACGTTTTAATATTTATTGCTTTGATATATCAAATATAGATTCCTGAAATTACAATTCCTAGATCACAATTCACCTCATCCCCTTTCACTTACAACCTTTAATATTCTAATCAATTTCTCATAAAATCGAGGTATATATGAAACAAGAGTTAAGTTCAAACCCGAGATCCGCCGCCTACAAATTAATCACTTTCACACACAGATACCCTCATTTATGTTCTAATATTCACTAGAACATTTTTGTCGTTTATTTAATTGATTACATATTCATATACAGTTTTATGTATACTGGACAATTGGAATATTGGACGTCAGAGCAACATGCTTTATATCGTACAGCGCAAAAGATGAATATGACAGTCCTAACGAAGTTGCTCGACGCTCAATTTAATACAAGCAAAATGCAAGATGATGTGGCAAAAACACCTTCGCGTCCAGTAATAGCAGTCACAAAACCTTCAACTCCAATTACAAAAACAATTACAAGCTCCACCAATTCGGTATCAAATGTATCTGGGCAAACATTGCCAGGTAGAAAGTATGTATTCCATAAGTAATGTTCCAAACATACTTAATTTTGTGATAATAAAATCTTAATAATCTCATTTTTAAAGGCTTCCCATATGGAAAAGAAAACTGGATGAATCTCCACCTGCACCAGCAAATTATGAAGTACGAACATTCCACAGTACATCTTCAACACATAAAGAGGCGACTCCTGGCCCATCCAGATTTGATCTTCCAGAAGCGGATGATATTGCTTTGGGAGTATTTTCTTCATTCGATGATATTACATATAATACAAAACCTATTGTTCAGGCATGCGACACATATAAAAAAGACAATTCTCTTAAAGGTTCGCCTGATAGAGATAGTAAAAACGATACGACTGAAGATGAGGACGAGGATAATCAAGGGAGCGAAAAGAACTTGAGAGACACAAATTCAGATGATGATTGGAATATATCGAAGAATTATGAGAAATCTGAAGAAGGTCCATCTAAACGAGTACGTTTTGATTTGGAGGAAAAGGAAAATGTAGAAAAGCCTAAGTCGAATCATCCGAATACCGATGATTCTATCAATAATCACGCAAAGATTATCAGAGAAGTATTAAAAAAATATCCCCATTTAGTAAAGAACAATAAAAATATTCGCTTGAAAATCATGCAGAAAGAAACAAAATCCTCCGAAAGTAATACTGCGTGCAAAACAAAAATATCTTACGTGGTTTTAAAATCCGATCATCTATTGGCCACCAATAATGATGAAAATAATGATTCCAAGTGTAACGGCAGTATCGATGCCGAGACAGGTCCCTGGAAATGTAACAAATGCGATTTGGATGAGGAATATACGAATTATTATATGTACAGAAGACACATGCAGGATGTGCACGAGGAGAAATTTGATCCAAGGGTTTGTGAGCATTGCGGTTATAAGGCAACCAAACGCAACATTCTGATGTATCATCTTTATACCAAGCACAACGTGCCACCGCCGAAGAGCATGAGCTTCCCGAAGTGTCATGCCTGTTCATACATTGCCTTGTCAGAGACTCTGCTGGTGCGTCATCAGATAAACCATAATCATCGGCCTGCTGCGACCCGACATCACGCTTTACCTTCGGAAGATATTCAATGCAGTCAATGCAATCAGTCATTTAAGAATATTACTGAACTTACTACTCATGAATTGAACAGCGGACATGGAGGTATAACAGATGGTAAAGAGAAGGGTCATCGTTGTCCATACTGTGGCAAAGTGTTTGTGCGTTTGACAAACTTGCAAGTACATCTAGATTGCGCGCATAAAGAATTACAGAGAGACGTCACCGAGTCTCCCCCGTCCGCACCTCCATTAGAACCATCATCTGAAGCAGAAGCTCTCAGCCATGTCGCCAGTGGTATAGCTGCTTCCCTCGGTGTCGGAGATACGGAGACGGAGACTGCTGCTGAAACGCAGGAAGAAGAAGAAACCATAGAGATAGTAAAAACTAATGGTGATCAGTACATTGTACCGGATGTGTTGAACGATATGGAACATAACATCAGTTACACTACGCATGAAATAGATGGCCAGCACATGATTATGTTAGTTAATAATGATGAAAACTATCAGCATGATGAGAACAATCATCATCAGCAACCGCAACAGTTGGATATTGCCGATAATGAGCAAATAGTAATGCAGGGCACAGATGACGGTATGATTGTGTACATTCATGGTGCTGATGAGGCCGATAACCGATCCTACGAGACTTATCAGCCCGACGAAGTTACACAGGAGACAGAAGAAATAGTAGAGGAGGTTGTTGAGGAAGTCGAAGAGGTAGTTATGGAGGAAGAGGAAGTACAGGAGGAAGAGGAGATGCCTCAACACATGTTGGAGGATTGTGGTGATAATCAAGTGGAAGAAGTGATACAATATGTCGAAGAACAGACAGAGATAGTAGAGTACGACGAAGACCAATGCAGCGAACAGGGCAATAGTATGGATGAGCAACAAGAATCTGTTATGATCATCGAGGAGGAACATGTCGAGGGCGAGGAAGACATGGAAGAGACTACTGATAAACAACATAAGAAAATACAAAGTTTTACCACCGAGTGGGATGAAGATAGCGCGGGATTAACGGAATCATGAATACTGTAATATTGGATTTTTTATTTGCTTGTGTAATATGTTACTTTAACCATAATATAGTTTAATTTTAAAGCGACACTTTAATGGAGATTTTGATTTTATATTTTACTCTGGATGTTTTTCAACAGAGACAGATGACGATGGATGACGATGTAACAGTGAATCATTTCATCCTTATTTGTAAATGTTAAATAAGGTTGAAATGATTACCAAGTGTCTCTTGCTGAAAGGTATCATTGATCTATGTAATGTTTGTTGATAATGAACGGTTATGCAACGGGCGCAATACAGCCATACTGACTTTGCCACACATATATTTAGCAGTAAGCCCACAAAATTAATCAAATTACATTTAACGACAGGCAGGAGCGATATCATTGAATATTATTGTATGAGCTTGTATATCTGAATTTTATCGTTGCACCGACACAGATTATTTTGTTTTAAATATGCTAAAATATATATTTTACAATGCAAAAAAGTGTAAGATCTCAATTATGAATTGAGATTATTATACAGCAGTAGCACTTTTAAGAGTCCAAGATAAAAATCTGTAATCTTTAAACCTGCGACTTTTTTTTTCGAATACAAATATGTTCATATATGCATATATGTAGCTTATTAATATAATATTATATAAATTAGGAGCCATTTCGACCAACTCCGATTAACTTTAATCGACGATTAACTCGCTCGGCGAAATCACATCTCTAATACAATTCATCGTTCTTAATGTTTTTCGATATATTAAAGATATAGTTCTATTAATTAATTTAATAATTTTTTCGTATTAATAAAATAGTGCTAATTAAGTTAATCGGAATTGGTCGAAATGGCTTTATTTATAAATTTATTTCGTGAGAATACGCATTAGATATGTTAAAGTATATTGGTGACCAATCACGTAGTTTTTTTAAATGCTATTCTACAGAATGAAAATATATCACGTTTAAAAGAAATTTTGAGAACGAATGTTCCTTCCAAATACCGCCTGTAATCTTTTATACCGCAATCGATAATAAACAGTGATTTTTACAATTAAGAGGCGAAGGCTATAATGAAAATAAAATTCGTAGATTATAAACACATAATGTTTTATGTTTTAGATTGTGCACAATTATATGGAAAAGTATAGATAAATAAAAATGCAATATATATTATACTTAAATACTCATGTCGCAAGTACGAAATTTACGTTTTGTCTGCGTTCGCCATATTTTTGAGTGCATTCGGTTTCATGCATTATGCGGATGATGCATCGTTTACAAAGATAAATTATGCATTACGGGTATCATACGTGAAACGAAATGCACCCTAAAAAGTTAATTTTTTATTGCTGAACTAAAATTTCTCATTTTCATGAAATTTCAATTTAAATATAAATATTTCACTTTTTAAGTACAAAAAGTGTATACCAGGGGCTGCGTCTGCGTTCCATTGTAACGTAGCCTAGTCAGGCCTAGTTGTCGGAACGCTAATTCAGCTGTAAAAGCAGACTTTTTATCTCGTCCTAACCTGAATTCGAAGCTTCTAGTTATTTTCTGATATGGACATCCGTGGACTGCTTCCCGTCGAGATATTTGACAGTTCAATATTCGTAAAAGAGAAAACGAATAAATTCGTAATAAAGTGTAGTAGTTTCGTCGTAATCTAAAAAGTAAAATAAATTGCGAAAATATGAGTGGTCGTATCGCTCCGAGTAAATCAACTGTCTATGTGTCAAATTTACCATTCTCATTTACCAACAATGACATACATCAGCTGTTGGAAGGTTACGGCAAAATTGTCAAGTGAGTTATAATTATTTTTATTTAAATTGACCGTGTTAAGTTTACATATATATCATATTAATATTACGTTTATTCGCAGAGTAACGATATTGAAAGATAAGGTAACGCGTCGTAGTCGTGGCGTTGCCTTCGTCCAATTTCTTAGGCCAGACGAAGCTGTGTCTTGTGCGAAACGTCTCAATAACACAGAGGTAGATAAATTTTAATTTCTTTATTTATTTTTCTGATTGACTTCGCACGTGTGTGTTCAAACTATCATCTAGTCACTTTGCATAGGTCAATAATTCGATCACACGTGCATTTTTTCTGTGACAGTATACTTTCATAAATCATTATAAAGGAATGTATCAACTTTATAATAAATTAGATAAATTTTTCTTTTATTTTCTATTTAAATAAACCTAAAATAGAAAGTTAAAAAATTACAATGTTAAACGTTTAATTTGCATAGAATTATTCTAGTGAGGAATTGAAGTTAATTCATGATCTGTGCCTTTTTCTTAATTTCAAAAAGAAAAGATGTAACCGAGATCAGAGTTTTTAAAATTAATACATCTTTTTTATGTATTGTTAATGTTCTCTTCCTTTGTTTTTTTTTATCGTTAGGTATATGGTCGTACTGTAAAAAGTTCAATAGCAATTGACAATGGTCGCAGCACTGAATTCATACGTCGTAGGGATTATCCTGACAAATCGCAGTGCTATGAATGTGGACAGAAAGGACATTTGTCGTATCGCTGCAGCAACAACACACTTGGTCCTAGGGAACCACCAGCAAAGAAAATTAGGATACGAAAGAAAAATGTGAAACAAGAGAAGTGCGATATGAGTTATTTTGATAGCGACAGTGATATTGATGAAGCAACAAAAAGACCAAAATGTCATTTCGATGATGTCGATGATGATGCTACGGAAGAACCAGAAACGCTAAGTGCCGTTATTGCACTTGAGGTATAATCACGATTTTTAATTTTTAATTAAAACTTGAAGAGAGAAGAATGAGCAAGTTAAATTTTTGTAGATTAAAAATTATTATATAACTTTTACTCAAGTTATTTTATATTTCAGCAAAGACAGACAGAAATGGAACGTAGAGAAACAACAGACGAATATGATAGAAAAGAGGCTGTACCAAAGAAACGCTATAAAAAGAATAATTATTTCAGTGACGAAGAGGATTTTAGCGAATAATATGTATATAATATGAAATAATGTAAAATCTCGAAGGTATTATATATTGATAAATGTATATAAATATAAATAGCATCGCTTTTGTTTCCCAAGTACAAAGTACTTTCAAGCTATAATAAAAAATACTCCAAATGTATTCTTAATTTAATTTTACTGTTAGCATGGCAGGAATATTAATCAAATATTTTTAACATTTAGAGATAGAAATTTTGTCTTTCTCATATAAGCTTTGAACTTAACACTTTTAACAAACAAGGTCGCAACCTATCAAGTAATAATATTAATTACAATAGCATTTGATATAATTATACACATATATGGCCATATAATGTGTATGTATGTATGTATGTATGTATGTTTACATATGCATACAGAATGTCCCAAGTTAATCCAATTTTTATGTATTTTGTAAAAAGGATAGAGAATAAAAGATCTTTTATTTAATTTAGAAAGTATTAGTCTTTCCTTAGTAAAAATTGAACTGTATATCGTTTTTCTGCTCTCACATTTTAAATATTAGTCATCTTGATAATACAACAAAAATTAAATTTCATTGAGAAAAGATTCATTTAAAGATTAGCACGTGTTCATTTGTGCCAAAAAATAGTTTGCAGTTAGCATCATTTATTTTTTAGTCGTTTATAATCAGTGCTTTATTAAGGAAAAATTGATTCCAATTTATTTAAAGAACTTACAGAAACTATCTTGAGACAAGCTGTATATATTTCAGTGGACACAATTTATTATATGAGCTATATTCGTTTTTATATAATCCATTATAATTTAATATTAGAAAACATTAAACAAAATAAAAAAAAATTTAGGCGCGACATATAACGATCTCTCATCTTCCAGCTGAATGAATAAACAGATTTAACATAACGACATAATCATAAAAAATGTACAGTATATTCACATACTAATCCTATATTGAGGATATGGATGTATCACATTTAATTTATGATACTATTTTTCAGTCCAACGAGTTTGCATTTTAAAATACTTAAAGCAAGATTACTGCAGTCTATGACGCATACAATTAGACTATACAAGATTATGTAACAAAATTAAAATCTGTGTTTCCTTCTCTATGTCAGTCACATCCAGAATTTGAAATTAGTACTATAATCAAGCGCTGTGTCACATTATTGTAAACACGCTTGAACTTTTTCGATCCATTCTTGCGCCGTCGTTGCATCAGCAGCACAGAAGTTATATGTTCGTCTGTTTGTACGAAGCTGTAAAGAAAATGATTCTATCATGTTTGTAATATATGGCAAAAATTATATTTCAACAGTATCATACAAAAATGAATTAATTCACAGAATTGAAAAAAGTTAAATATATCATGGAAATCTGTGTCTTAATTAAACTTAATTTACTGAAATTATTGAAAAGTTAATACATTTTTTATAAAAATTGTATTTAAATTGTGTATGTGTTTTTCTATTAAAGTAAAATATATACTCACATCAAAGAAGGATTTATCATCCGTTTTCTTTGGTGGTCCGGGCATTGGTGCAGCTGGAGTAACAGACACCACCTCAGCCAAATCTGTTTACAGATAATATGTGATTTTGTAATACATACCTCGTCTACTTTCAAACTTTTCTCTTGTAGTATTTCATTTTTTTTTAAGTTTAATTACATACCTATATATCCTTTACAGTGCGAGTCTTCTACTGCGTCGTAATATCTCAGTTGATGCTTTATAGAATCTAGTACAAACCATCTTTGTTTCCAGCCCTTTAATAGAGCTCCTCGTTTATAAAGATAGCCTTCATGCGTTCTATTTTCCGCCACATTACTCGAGAATTGTTCATAATATTGCTGAGAAGAAGTTTGTATAGTTGTTACGCCTGCAAGAAAAAGCTCATGTTAATATAAAGTAGCAAAAGTTTGAAAATAATAAAGTTGCTGCTAGGAAGATTATATGTGAGAAACACTTAATTAATCCGTTCAGATTAATGAAATCAGCGCATACTTGAGTTTACGCTTCCATTATCGCCACCGCTTCTCGTAAGTGTGTGAGTTTGGAGATTATCTGTCACAGCCTTATATTTTGTGCAATTCTTTGGCACAGCATCCGCGCATTTATCATGACACACGTGACCGCAATCAATGCATCTTAATCCAGCCTTCACAGGACCCCATAACACGCCGGAACATGCATCGCAATGAGTCGGTGTCGCGGAATCCAATCGTTCGAACCTTTGGGAAATATTTGTATTAACGATATGTTTAATCAATTTGAGCAAATTGTGCAAATCGGCATTAACGATACCTGTGTGGATGTGCATACACGGAGCCTTCGTTTCCGGTAGTGTTTCCACCGGCAAGTTTGCCGCGCAATAATAGTTCTAAAGTAGAGCGTTTATGAATCAATCGACCGTGGTACCGTACGAGTGCCGTGCTGAATGACGCGTGCCGCTAGAAAAAAGAAAATTAATCACGAATGGGGCTTTACAACAGTTATACCAAATATATTCAGGCAACACAAAGTCTCGAGGTATCTTTAATACATCGCTATAAATTCAATAAATATTTCATATATTCTTTTTTAATCATTGCAAAGGTTAATATAAAATAATATCTAATAGCAATGTGTTATTTATTTGCTTTTTAACAATTATTTAACAGGATTTATTGGTAATTGCGAATGAATTCTCATATGACTTTTAATTCGTAATGCTTCAATAAAGTCTAATAAAAAATATCTTGGTGTATTTCTAAAAAAAATAACATAATTCAAAAGTAAATTGTGCAATAGTATACAGTCATATATATTTTTTTTCTTGCAATGATACTCGCAAAACTACCTCGGCAAGAATAAAGAATTTCTTGTACATTCTGTTTTTTTTTTCTCATAAATTTTTTCAAATAAATTTCTCATTTCTTGTAATATTCTTACAGCAATGTAATGTTACTTACAGCAAGAGAATCGGTATTTGGTAATTCGAGTTTATCCCAGAGTACTTTCCATTTTTGCGGTAAATGTCCCAATTCGGTTTCCAATTTGTGAATTTCTTCTAAAAGATGCGAAAACTGATCGGGCACCATTGTGCTGACACCGTCGTATCTACAAAAAAGATTGTAATTTGTAACTTGATGATTTCTTTGAGAACGTTAAATGTGGCATTTGAAGTAATAATCACCCCTGAGTGACCACTTTACGATTGCTCTTAACCACGCCATCCGCAGCCTCGGCCTCTTCCTCCTGCTGGGAATCCTGTTGCAGCACTTCCAGATCGTATGCTGGACCGTGTGCCAGTTCTTCTTCCAAGTAAAACTGCCAGATGTCCAGACTCGGCAGATGGGACACTGGTCGCAGAACAGGATTCTCCGTGTTCGGTGTGTACATAAAATTATAAAACAACGGACATCTCGCATGTTGCTTCTCTATGTAATCGAATATACTCTGCCCGAGATTGCAGCCAAGTGTTTGTTTGTTTGTTCCCGCTAATCTACCGCCAGGATAAATCGTGTCGTCATCGCTACCGGTGTCCACGCCCTTGTGATGACTCGTTAAGGAACCTCTTTTATCCTCGATGGCGGTGATACCGCACTCTACTCTGTCAAACTCGCAGTCCAACAGAAATGTACGAAAGCGGCAGGATACCGAATGATAAGCTAAAAACTTTAAATAGTATTCGTTGAATTCGAAGGCCAGAGGAAATTGTTTCTGTATCTGATGCACTATGTCCAGGAACTGTAGAAACGTAGGCGTGAAGTTTGTCGTTTGCGAATTTGCTGCGAGATTGCTTCTGTGGCCGAATCTATGCCCGAATCCGAGCCACTCCTTCTCGATTAAGGTCCTAAAGCCGTCGATTGTTCGATAATGTGGATCGAGACACACCTGCGCTATGGAGCAAACGGTGGTTGTTGTGTCCCAACCATCTTCCAGACAAACAGCTACTGACGAGCCCTGCATATCCATGAGGTCTATGACTGCTCCCGCTAGTTGCATCAGGCTTTGCAATTGCTGCAACCACTCCGAATTCTCGATGAGTTTGTAGAAACTCTGATCGGGTTCTACATTCGGCGAGCTAGGTACGCACGCTCGCATCAGCTTCTTAAATGCAGCTTTCGTATGCCTCACATCATAATATTCTACCGGAATGAAGTCCGTTTTGGGGGTAGATTCTGCCTTCACGCCTTTCATATGCGCCTTTTCACCCAGAATGTAGAGAGCGGCGCGTTGAAATGTGTGAACACATTCCGTACCGCTGTCAGAATCCGCTGAATGTCTGACAGTTCCGCGCTGGTGATGAACTGAAGTTAAGGAAGCTTGAGAATTGTGTCGTTTGTCCTTCAGGGAACCCCATCGTCCGAGATTCTTGGGACCTTTCCCGCCCGACGAACTGAAAGTGCCTAGGGGTTTGTTGAATGGATTGCGGCGCGATTGTTCAGGCGTGGCGTTACGATCTTCTGCTGCTAGTAATAGAGAGTCTATACTTAGAGAGCTGTCGGACATACCCCAAGCGGAACCTTGTCGCAGTACGGAAAGCGGTGTCACGGCAACAAGCGCCATCATATATTTCTCCTGCTCCAGAGAGGAAGTGGTCTCCGAGGATGTAGTCTTTAAATTACTGCCGGAGGTCGGATGGGCTTTCAGCATGCCCATTACGCCTTTTCCGTGATAACCCGCGCCTCTAATCAGCAACGCTTTTGTTCGCGGATGTCTCCAGGTGACAACTGGCATTCTACTATGACGATGAAGTCTGCAGAATCGTCGAATGCTTTCGTCTGATACAGAAGTTGGCACAATCAGAAGTGCAGGATAGCTTCGACAAATCATGTAGGCGCAGTTCACCGAGGTCAATCGGAAGGGTTCGTTACGACGATTGTTATGTGGTCCGTTTGAATAGAGACCCAATCGGTACCAGTCCCTGACGTAACTACGCTCAGACAAACGTTCGAGAGTCTTGGCGTCAGTCGGTGGTTGTGTCACTACGCCAGGTATCTCGAAATCGTCTACGCTGAGATCGTCATCGTGGCTGAGCTCGTTGCTATCGGTCATCGGTAGACTCATTCGGCCAGGCGACGTCATGTACTTGTTGTTGCTGTTGATGAGATTCATATTCGGCAGAACATACTTTTGCCG